GCTTGGATTGCCACTAACATCACTGCTTGGATCGCCACTCACATCACTGCTTGGATCGCCACTAACATCACTGCTTGGATCACCACTAACATCATTGTTTGGATCACCACTCACACCACTGCTTAGATCACCACTCACATCACTGATGGATCCCCACATGCCATACCACTCCTAAAATTGTGCCCCAAGTAGTAAACCTTACTGACCAATATTTTTTAAGGAACTTTTTCCACTCGTACATACATTATCTCTTTCTATAATGGGTTCAATGGGATAACATTTTTTTTTTTTTTTTCAACAAGTCGGTCGTCTCCCACCGGGGCAGGGTGACCCAACACTCACCACATTATCACTCACACATTATCACTGCTTTTGCAGAGGTGCTCAGAATGCAACAGTCTAGAAGCATATACGTATAATGATACACAACATATCCCTCCAAACTGCCAATATCCCAAACCCCTCCTTTAAAGTGCAGGCATTGTACTTCCCATTTCCAGGACTCAAGTCCGACTATATGAAAATAACCGGTTTCCCTGAATCCCTTCACTAAATATTACCCTGCTCACACTCCAACAGATCGTCAGGTCCCAAGTATCATTCGTCTCCATTCACTCCTATCTAACACGCTCATGCACGCTTGCTGGAAGTCCAAGCCCCTAACCCACAAAACCTCCTTTACCAACTACAATTAATTCACACAGCAAAGGGTTTTCCAGGACTCCAACTACACCGTTAAGGAAGGTATGTCTGTGTGCTGAGCCAAGACAAGCTTTCATAGAAATAAAAACCTACCATCCGACTTACGACCAAGTTCGGTTCTGAGAAACCGGTCGTAAGTCGAAATGGACGTAAGTCGAACTTTACTACTGAATATCAACATAACACTTTTGTAATGACTTTATTTTATTGTTTTATTTTGGTATTTCATGTTTTACTTTACTTTTTATGCTGTTAGTACTGTATTTTATACTGTAAGGTTTAGGATAAACACTGTGTACAACACAAACACTTGTTTTTTTTTCCCAGAAATTTGGCATAAAAAACACGGTCGTAAGTCGAGTCGTATGTTGAGCAGGTCGTAAGTCAGATGGTAGGTGTACTTCATAGATCAGATATAAGAAAATATTTTAAGTTCTGCAACATACAGTAAACATAATTGCACAGTTCACCTTAAAAATGAGAAACAATTGACAAATAGGCGAGTACAATCAGGAAGAGCATCTGTCCCGCTTTCAATATGTGAAGGTTCGAGCCTCCATCACATCTTGCCCTGAATGACCCATGTAGGTTCAGCGCTCAACATGACTATTCTATTACTGTTGAAATAATAAAGACTGGTTCAACAGCAGTGGCACTGGAACACCAAGTAAAAATAAACAAACTGGAACAAATATAATTTCGTTATACTCAAGCTGCCAGTTTCTCTTCATATATAATGTCACTTAGCAAGGCCTAGTCCTTATTTCTTGGGTAGCATTGAGGATTGGGTTGGGAAAATCTTATTTCTTGGGTAGCATTGAGGATTGGGTTGGGAAAATCTTATTTCCTATTTTGCTAGCATGTCTTCCATTTTATCGATTGAGTACAAGAAACCTCCCAATCAACTATTTCAATTTCCCAATAATCAGAAATTGGTAATTTGGCCATTTTTACATAAATTTCAACACAGGGTCGAGAATAAACAATGCCGGCATTCCTGACACTAAAATAACATTTCCTCTGTTATCAGTTATGTTCCCAGGCTTTACACATGAATTCCATTTTGAATTTTTATTCACATACACAAAAAACAGATTTACTGTTATTGCAATAATTGTATAATGTCAATGCATTCATGAACGCAACTAGACTGACCAGCTGGACGTGTACTGGACAAGCAACGTGATTTGTTTACTCTGGAATATCGGCAAAAACTGAATATTTCCGCTACTTTGAGCTCAATTTCAAGCTACAGTGGACCCCCGGTACTCGATGGCATCGGTATTCGATGCATTATATCGCAAAAAATTTTCCTCGGTATTCGATTGAAAACCCGGTATTCGATACGATTTGTACGAGACGTGTCCACATGTGGCCTGAACTGCCCTGTGTGTGCCAGTGTTTACAAGCCAGCCAGTGTGTGCGCATCTAAGGATACATTCGGTACATTCCATATTATCAGTGTTTGGTGCTTGTTTCTGCAAAATAAGTCACCATGGGCCCCAAGAAAGCTTCTAGTGCCAACCCTTTGAGAAAAAAGTCGCTAATGACCTATGAAATGAAGAAAGAGATAATTGCAAACTAAGAAAGTGGAGTGAGTGTGTCGGAGCTGGTTAGGCTGTATAATAAACCCCAATCAACCATCTCTACTATAGTGACCAGGAAAACGGCAATCAAGAAAGCTGTTCTTGCAAAAGGTGCAACTGTGATTACGAAACAGCGACCGCAAGTGTTAGAAAATGTTGAGAGATTGTTATTGGTGTGGATAAATGAAAAACAGATAGCATCTCTCAAGCGATCATTTGAGAAAATGCTAGGCAGTTGCATGACGATTTGGTAAAGAAATTGCCTGCAACTAGTGGTGATGTGAGTGAATTTAAGGCCAGCAAAGGTTGGTTTGAAAGATTTAAGAATCGTAGTGGCATACATAGTGTGATTAGGCATGGTGAGGCTGCCAGTTCGGACCAAAAAGCAGCTGAAAAATATGTGAAGGAATTCAAGGATTACATAGACAGTGAAGACTTGAAACCTGAACAAGTGTTTAATTGGGACGAAACAGGCCTGTTTTGGAAGAAAATGCCAAGCAGGACCTACATTACTCAGGAGGAAAAGGCACTCCCAGGACATAAGCCTGTGAAAGACAGGCTTACTCTACTCATGTGTGCCAATGCTAGTGGTGATTGCAAAGTGAAGCCTTTATTGGTGTATCACTCTGAAACTCCCAGAGTGTTTAGGAAAAACAATGTCCTCAAGGCTAATTTGTGTGTGCTGTGGAGGGCAAACAGTAAGGCATGGGTCACTAGGGACTTTTTCTATGACTGGTTACACCAAGCATTTGCCCCCACTGTGAAAAATTACCTAACTGAAAAGAAATTAGACCTTAAGTGCCTTCTGGTATTAGACAATGCCCCTGGTCATCCTACAGACTTGGCAGAGCGACTTTCTGGGGACATGAGCTTCATTAAGGTCAAGTTTTTGCCTCCTAATACCACTCCTCTCCTGCAGCCCATGGACCAGCAGGTCATTTCCAACTTCAAGAAACTGTACACAAATGCTAGGTTTCAAAAGTGCTTTGTAGTGACCACAGAAACTCAACTGACTCTAAAAGAATTTTGGAAGGATCACTTTAATATCCTCAATTGTATAAACCTTATAGGTAAGGCTTGGGAGGGAGTGACTAAGAGGACCTTGAACTCTGCTTGGAAAAAACTGTGGCCAGAATGTGTAGACAAAAGGGATTTTGAAGGATTTGAAGCTAACCCTGAAAATCCTATGCCAGTTGAGGAATCCACTGTGGCATTGGGGAAGTCCTTGGGGTTGGAGGTTAGTGGGGAGGATGTGGAAGAGTTGGTAGAGGAGGACAGTGAAGAACTAACCACTGATGAGCTGATAGATCATCTTCAACAGCAAGAGGCCACACTTGAGGAAACTGCTTTGGAGGAGGGGATAGAGAAATTGAAGAAGTTGCCTACTTCAAAGATTAAGGAAATGTGTGCAATGTGGCTTAAAGTGCAAACCTTTTTTGATGACAATCACCCTAACACAGCTATTGCAAGCCGTGCTGGTGACTATTACACTGACACTGTTGTGAAACACTTTAGGAATGTCATAAAGGAACGGGAGGTACAGGCCACTATGGACAGATATGTTGTGCGACAGAAATCCAGTGACTCTCAAGCTGGTCCTAGTGGCATTAAAAGAAGAAAGGAAGTAACCCCGGAAAAGGACTTGCTACCTCAAGTCCTAATGGAAGGGGATTCCCCTTCTAAACACTAACACCTCTCCCCTCCTCCCATCCCATCAATCATCACCAGATCTTCATTAAGGGTAAGTGTCAATTATTTTATTGTTTTTGTAATTATTCTATTGCATTTAACTTAATATTTCATGTAGTAAATTTTTTTTTTCATACTTTTGGGTGTCTTGCATGGATTAATTTGATTTCCATTATTTCTTATGAGAAAAATTTATTCGGTTTTCGATATTTTCGGTATTCGATGAGCTCTCAGGAACGGATTAATATCAAATACCGGGGGTCCACTGTACTTTGTCCTGAAACCAATCAAAATCATTTCAACTTCTGTAATATACCTTCCATTATATCAAATGAGATCAAGAAACCAAGAATACAACCACAAGAAAATCCAAAAATACACTGCAAAGTCACCATTTTAAACCAAAAACACGGTTGCAGTTTTTCCCCCCATTATGCACTGCATGGGGCAGGATTATTTTTATATGGTGCAAACCCTTAGAACTATGGCATGGAAAACGACTGCAAACCCATAGAACTATGGCATGGACAGAGACTGCAAACCCTTAGAAGTAAGGCATGGACAGAGACTGCAAACCCATAGAACTATGGCACAGACAGAGACTGCAAACTCACAAACATTAACCCCATTCATAATCATGGATCATAATGGGAAACTAACTTTTCTGTCCCCTGTTACGAAATGCTGTGGCAGTTGTTCTGAGTAATACTTATGCCAGAGTAGTTGGTTCAGCATGGCAGTACACAACACACTGTGACAGTTGTTCTGAGTAATACTTATGCCAGAGTAGTTGGTTCAGCATGGCAGTACACAACACACTGTGACAGTTGTTCTGAGTAATACTTATGCCAGAGTAGTTGGTTCAGCATGGCAGCACACAACACACACTGTGACAGTTGTTCTGAGTAATACTTATGCCAGAGTAGTTGGTTCAGCATGGCAGCACACAACACACACTGTGACAATAACCACCATACACCACTGTTGTCATCTTCAACATCAAAACACTAAACTTGAACTGACCTGTACTATTGTGTTGTGAAGTTGAGGTGATTAAATGATTGGAAGTTCCTGAACTTGTGTTACTGTTGTTTGGAGTAGTTTGAGAGGCTGAACCTGGAAGAAAAGAACAATACAATTAAATATACAATAAGCTAGAAATTAGTCAAGCTTTATTTGGCAAACTTTTCAGTTAAGATACTTTTCTAAAAGTAATAAATTATGTGTACAGTTCTGAGGACACAGTGGCAGTCTAGGAGGGCCTCGCTTATACAGCAGGCTAGGTTCCGGGCTACTGTAGGACCTCGCTTATACAGCAGGTTAGGTTCTGGGCTACTGTAGGACCTCGCTTATACAGCAGGTTAGGTTCTGGGCTACTGTAGGACCTCGCTTATACAGCAGGCTAGGTTCCGGGCTACTGTAGGACCTCGCTTATACAGCAGGTTAGGTTCTGGGCTACTGTAGGACCTCGCTTATACAGCAGGTTAGGTTCTGGGCTACTGTAGGACCTCGCTTATACAGCAGGCTAGGTTCCGGGCTACTGTAGGACCTCGCTTATACAGCAGGTTAGGTTCTGGGCTACTGCAGGACCTTGCTTATACAGCAGGTTATGACTTAAGAAATCGTAATGACACCTGGAGTTTACCTGGAGAGAGTTCCGGGGGTCAACGCCCCCGCGGCCCGGTCTGTGACCAGGCCTCCTGGTGGATCAGAGCCTGATCAACCAGGCTGTTGCTGCTGGCTGCACGCAAACCAATGTACGAGCCACAGCCCGGCTGATCAGGAACTGACTTTAGGTGCTTGTCCAGTGCCAGCTTGAAGACTGCCAGGGGTCTGTTGGTAATCCCCCTTATGTGTGCTGGGAGGCAGTTGAACAGTCTCAGGCCCCTGACACTTATTGTATGGTCTCTTAACGTGCTAGTGACACCCCTGCTTTTCATTGGGGGGATGGTGCATCGTCTGCCAAGTCTTTTGCTTTCGTAGTGAGTGATTTTCGTGTGCACGTTCGGTACTAGTCCCTCTAGGATTTTCCAGGTGTATATAATCATGTATCTCTCCCTCCTGCATTCCAGGGAATATAGGTTTAGGAACCTCAAGTGCTCCCAGTAATTGAGGTGTTTTATCTCCGTTATGCGCGCCGTGAAAGTTCTCTGTACATTTTCTAGGTCGGCAATTTCACCTGCCTTGAAAGGTGCTGTTAGTGTGCAGCAATATTCCAGCCTAGATAGAACAAGTGACCTGAAGAGTGTCATCATGGGCTTGGCCTCCCTAGTTTTGAAGGTTCTCATTATCCATCCTGTCATTTTTCTAGCAGATGCGATTGATACAATGTTATGGTCCTTGAAGGTGAGATCCTCCAACATGATCACTCCCAGGTCTTTGACGTTGGTGTTTCGCTCTATTTTGTGGCCAGAATTTGTTTTGTACTCTGATGAAGATTTAATTTCCTCGTGTTTACCATATCTGAGTAATTGAAATTTCTCATCGTTGAACTTCATATTGTTTTCTGCAGCCCACTGAAAGATTTGGTTGATGTCCGCCTGGAGCCTTGCAGTGTCTGCAATGGAAGACACTGTCATGCAGATTCGGGTGTCATCTGCAAAGGAAGACACGGTGCTGTGGCCGACATCCTTGTCTATGTCGGATATGAGGATGAGGAACAAGATGGGAGCGAGTACTGTGCCTTGTGGAACAGAGCTTTTCACCGTAGCTGCCTCAGACTTTACTCTGTTGACGACTACTCTCTGTGTTCTGTTAGTGAGGAAATTATAGATCCATCGATCGACTTTTCCTGTTATTCCTTTAGCACGCATTTTGTGCGCTATTACGCCATGGTCACACTTGTCGAAGGCTTTTGCAAAGTCTGTATATATTACATCTGCATTCTTTTTGTCTTCTAGTGCATTTAGGACCTTGTCGTAGTGATCCAATAGTTGAGACAGACAGGAGCGACCTGTTCTAAACCCATGTTGCCCTGGGTTGTGTAACTGATGGGTTTCTAAATGGGTGGTGATCTTGCTTCTTAGGACCCTTTCAAAGATTTTTATGATATGGGATGTTAGTGCTATTGGTCTGTAGTTCTTTGCTGTTGCTTTACTGCCCCCTTTGTGGAGTGGGGCTATGTCTGTTGTTTTTAGTAACTGTGGGACGACCCCCGTGTCCATGCTCCCTCTCCATAGGATGGAAAAGGCTTGTGATAGGGGCTTCTTGCAGTTCTTGATGAACACAGAGTTCCATGAGTCTGGCCCTGGGGCAGAGTGCATGGGCATGTCATTTATCGCCTGTTCGAAGTCATTTGGCGTCAGGATAACATCGGATAGGCTTGTGTTAATCAAATTTTGTGGCTCTCTCATAAAAAATTCATTTTGATCTTCGACTCTCAGTCTGGTTACCGGCTTGCTAAAAACTAAGTCATATTGGGACTTGAGTAGCTCACTCATTTCCTTGCTGTCATCTGTGTAGGACCCATCTTGTTTAAGTAGGGGCCCAATACTGGACGTTGTTCTCGATTTTGATTTGGCATAGGAGAAGAAATACTTTGGGTTTCTTTCGATTTCATTTATGGCTTTTAGTTCTTCCCGCGATTCCTGACTCCTAAAGGATTCTTTTAGCTTAAGTTCGATGCTTGCAAACAAACCATACCCCCGGCCGGGTTCAATCCCGCGGGTTCAATCCCGGCCGGGGGTATGGTTTGGGACAGCAGGTTATGTTCTGGGCTACTGTAGGGCCTCACTTATACAGCAGGTTATATTATGGGCTACTGTAGGGTCTCACTTATACAGCAGGTTAGGTTCTGGGCTACTGTAGAGCCTCGCTTATACAGCAGGTTAGTTCTCAGTCATTTCAGCACAGCACCGGAGAGATGCCATTGACCTTAATGGTGTATTCAAGGTCACTGTTGTCAATGCTCTCATGAGGCTCAACTTCAAGAAAGTCCAGAAGACAGACATTATACCACAAGATGGGTAATCATCAGTACAAAAGGGCTCCCGCTTATACGCCAGTTTAGGTTCTGGGCTACAGTAGGACCCCACTTACACAGCAGGTTAGGTTCCAGTCTATTGTAGGGCCCTGTTTATACAGCAGGTTAGGTTCTGAGCCACTGTAGGGCCCCACTTATACAGCAGGTTAGGTTCCAGGCTATTGTAGGGCCCTACTTATGCAGCAGGTTAGGTCGCGGACTACTGCTGTAAAGCGAAAATCGCATCAAGTGAAACATAATCTTTCTTCACGTTCAAATGCATATAGGAGCCTGGAAATATATTTACACTAACATATCTTCCTACAATAAATATATTCACCTCTCCCTATAAGCTGAAGATGAAAATATTTTAAGGAACGTAATGTGTGTACTGTATATGCATTTTTTAGATCTAGCTCTACTGTTCACTTAATATATGATGGTGTAAACATGTTATCAGGCTTTTATAAGCATTTGAAAGTGAAAAAAAAAAGGCTGTAAACATGTTATCAGGCTTTTATAAGCATTTGAAAGTGAAAAAAAAAAAAGGCTATGTTTCACTTTACAGCAATTTTCACATTACAGTGGTTGCCCAGAACCTAACCTGCTGTATAAGCGGGGCTCACCTATACATAAACTCTACATGTATGATAATTAACATAACTCTATAACAAAAAGACAGTTTCAGCTATGCACTAACCCTTTCACTGTCTCCCATGTACATCTACATCACTGATGCTAGTGCTGCTCAGGCAGATCTAAATTTTAAGCCCCGCACTCTCAAATATGCAGTGAGCACTCTTAATTTCTGGGGTCGTGACAGTGAAAGGGTTAATGAGCTTAAGTAGCAGAAGAGCTCTCTCTTAGCTTGTACAATACAAGCAATAACTCTTAGCCTGAGTCCTGTCAAATGTAAAGCAGAGGAAAACAACAGTATATTGGGAGGATAGACAGGAGACTGTATTTGCACTGAGGTTATATGCAAAGACAGCCAGTATACTGTCTGTCCTCACAATACATGGCCTGTCTGGGAAAAGTGTCAACATAATAAAAAAAAAGTATTTTTTAAATGCACTGGCTGTCTCCCACTAAGGCAGGGTGACACAAGAAAGAAATATATAAATATATCAACACACACACGTGCATACACACCCACGAAAGTGCACACGTGCATACACACCCACGAGTGCACACGTGCATACACACCCACGAAAGTGCACACGTGCATACACACCCACGAGAGTGCACACGTGCATACACACCCACGAGAGTGCACATGTGCATACACACCCATGAGAGCGCACATGTGCGCACACACACAAATATATAATTCTTTCATTCATCTCTCAATGCCAGTCACCAAAAACAGTGAAATAAAATTGAGACATATTGAAAAAATTACACGGAACAACCACCACTATCAACCACAACCACTATCAACCACAACCACCAGCAAACACCTCATCAAACCAAAACCACAAACACAACAAACCACAAGTACCAACCATCTCCACACCGCTTCTAACATGAATATTTGTTGTTACAACTACTACATATATTACTGCTACTACTACACGTATTGCTCCTACTAGTACATGTACTACTGGTGCTGCTACACCTATTACTCCTACTTCAACCACATCTATTACTGCTTCCAATGTTACCACTGTCATCATGTATGAAAAAGATATAGAGGATATAGATACTGATACAAATATATAAATATAATATATATATATAAATAGAACTAGATAAATATATATAGCTATATATATATAGGTAGATATAGATACATACATAGATAGAATTTGGAGAAATCACAATAAAGCACATGATTGCAAATATAAAAAAATACCAGTGAAAAAAATAAAATCACTTTTGTGCACTCACACATCTTTTCCTCTAAAGATGTGTGCATAAACATACGAAAAAACCTCAGGTTTTCCTGTTTATTTTTTCACTGTGGTATTTTTTACACACTCATATACAGAAATAAGATAACATAGCTTGAGAGAGAGAGAGAGAGAGCTAGAACATGCACACTATTACTTCTAGGAGGCAGGTAGACGAAGCAAGATATAAAAACTGGAAGGTGATACATAAGACATCCTTCTACCTACAACAGGACTCTTCACAAACAAGTCTGTCGCTGAATGGAGGAAGTCCAACGCTGGGCCATCTCTCTGTGGGAAGCAGAGACAAAAGGAAAACAGCATCAGGAAGAGTGGGCTCCAAAATCTGGAAGTCCCTGGGAAAGTCAGACATGGATATTAACCAGTGGGCATCCAGCTTGTACTAAGAAGGCAAATGATTATCCACAACTTGAGGTGGACTTAAGTGAATGAATTCATGTCCACTTTCTTCAGGACATTCAACTGACAGGATGACTCATGAAATCGTATAACACGATTGCAAACAAACCATGCTATGGGTGGAGATAGAACCCATGGCAGGTGAGTCGTAAAACTCCAGGCCAGTGCATAAACCACTGGGCCAGCTGGTTACAATAAGATTCATCCAACTAGGTATATTCATACATCAGAGGGAGGTTGGCAAGGGCCACTGGGCCAGCTGGCCCAGGGACTTACACACTGGCCTGGAGTTTTACAAATGTCTTGCAATGGGTCCTAACCCCACCAGCACTATGGTCTGGCAGGATGAGACAGTTGTAACAAAACAGTTAAGGAAAGGATCACCCACTGGCACTCATCTTGCTGCTAAAATACAATGACAACCTCATGTCTGGTTGTAGCAACTACATCAACAGTTTTAACAATAATAAGCATGATGTCATGATACAACATAAGAGCAGTAATGAGTTATTATAACCACAGGGATGTGCTAGACCCCCAGGGGTCATACAGCACCTGGAGCATGGGAGGCAATAAGGTCTAATCCAAAAGGACAGTAGCTCCATTGCTCTGGATAATGAGACCTTTGAATTATTAAATTCATTTTTAATGGAAATGATAAATTTGTATGAATCATTCAGTGCAAGTAGTAGTGGAGGCTCGATCTTCCATATGAAACATATCAGAGACTGGTACATAAATGAAATGAATTACAAGAGGTAATAAATGCTTCAACAAGTGGACACTACAAAATTATTATGTTTTTCTTTTAACACGCTGGCCATCTTCCACCTTGGCAGGCTGACCCAAATAAGAAACCCTCTCCTCCGTAAGCCACAAGTGTTGCAAAAGCCAATTAAAATGCCATGAGCAATGGGCTAGTAAGCCCTTCTCCTGTATACATTACTAAAGTTAAAAAGAGAAACTTGTGTTTTTTCTTTCTGGGTCACCCTGCCTTGGTGGGATATGGCTGGTTTGTTGAAAGATGAAGTCTGTTGAGTATACCTAGTAAAGTGTATGGTAGAGTTATTATTAAAAGAATTAAGAGTAAGACAGAGAGTAGGATAGATGAACAAGGAGGCTTTAGGTAAGGTAGGGGTGTGTAGACCAAGTGTTTATAGTGAAACATATAGGTGAACAGCATTTAGATAAGGGTAAAGAGGCTTTTGTGGCATTCATGGATTTGGAAATGGCAGTTTGGAGGGATATGTTGTGTATGCTTCTAAACTGTTGTATTCTGAGCACCTCTGCAAACAGAGTGATAATGTGTGAGTGTGGTGAAAGTGTTGAATGATGATGAAAATATTTTCTTTTTGGGGATTGTCTTTCTTTTTTGGGTCACCCTGCCTCGGTGGAAGACGGCCGACTTGTTGAAAAAAAAAAAAAAAAATATGACAGGATGAATAGGGGGGCAATGTGGTAGATGTTGCAAATGTATGGAATAGGAGGTAGGTTACTGAAAGCAGTGACGAGTTTTTACTAGGATTCTGAGGCTCAGGTTAGAGTATGAAGGAGAGAGGGAGATCATTTCCCAGTAAAAGTAGGTCTTAGACAAGGATGTGTGATGTCACCATGGTTGTTCAATATATTTATAGATGGGGTTGTAAGAGAAGTGAATGCTCAGGTGCTGGCAAGAGGTGTGGGGTTAAAAGATTAAGAGTCTAATACAAAGTGGGAGTTGTCACAGTTGCTCTTTGCTGATGACACTGTCCTTTTGTGAGATTCTTAAGAGTAGTTGTAGAGGGTTTTTGGACGAGTTTGGGAGGGTATGCAAAAGAAGAAAATTAAAAGTGAATATAGGAAAGAGTATGGTGATGAAGATAACAAAAAAATTCAGTGACGAAAGATAGGATATCAGACTGAAGGGAGAGAGTATGGAGGCGAATGTTTTCAGGTATTTAGGAGTGGACGTGTCAGAAGATGGGTCTATGCAAGATGAGGTGAATCATAGAATTGATGAGGGAAAAAAGGTGATTGGTGCACTTAGGAGTCTGTGGAGACAAAGAACTTTGTCCATGGAAGAAAAGAGGGGAATGGATGAGAGTATAGTTATACCAACACTCTTATATGGGTGTAAAACATGGGTGGTGAATGTTGCAACAAGGAGAAGGCTGGAGGCAGTGGAGATGTCATGTCTAAACGGCAATGTGTGATGTGAATATAATGAAGAGAATTCATAGTTTGGAAATTAGAAGGTGCGGGATTACCAAAACTATTATCCAGAGGGCTGTGGAGAGGTTGTTGAGGTGGTTTGGACATGTAGAGAGAATGGAACGAAAAAGAATGACTTCGAGAGTGTATAAATCTGTAGTGGAGGTAAGGCGAGGTAGGGGTCGGCCTAGGATAGGTTGAAGGGACTTAGACTTCCAGCAAGCATGTGTGAGCATTAGATAGGAGGGAATGGAGACAAATGATTTTTAGGACTTGACGTGCTGTTGGAGTGTGAGCAGGGTAACATTTATGAAGGGAGTCAGGGAAACCAGCAGGCCGGACTTGAATCCTGGAGATGGGAAGTACAGTGTCTGCACCCTGAAGGAGGAGTGTTAATGTTGCAGTTTTATAACTGTAGTGTAAGTACGCCTCTGGCAAGTGATGGAGGGAATGATGATGAAAGTTTTTCTTTATCAGGCCACCCTGCCTTGGTGGGAGAAGGTCGATGTGTTAATAATAAAAAAAAAAAAGAAGAAAACTACAATGTAATGAATACTTGTCAATGCTCAATAACTCACATGGAGACAGAAACAGAAGATTAATTGATCTGTATATTTCAATTCCTTTCTGGGATCCTCTGCTGAAGAGGATCCCAGAAGGATTGAAATCTGCAGATCAATTAATCATCTGTGTTTCTGTCTCCATGTGGGTTATTACTGAGTAAAAAGAAAAACTTTAACATTGTCATTAATTACGCTACTCTCACAGTCAGACACGGTGTAAGGATAAGGTATCAGGATGGGATGGGAGTGTACTCAAGGAGTTCCACAGAGCTGTGTTGTGCCCTATACTGTTTTTGGTGTACAGTGATGATGCAACAACAGGCATCAACTCCTAATGTCCTCGTTTACAGATGATTCCAAAATAATGAGTATGAAAATGGAAAAGGTTGGCAGAAGTCTGCTGGAGAACCTGCACAGATTTCAAAATGTTTGATTAAGTGGCTGTTGGAGTTTAACCCCAATAAAAGACCTAGATATAAACATTATCACAAACCAGTTTCCTAAATACAAACGATAGCATTATTCTAAACTGTTGTATTCTGGGCACCTCTGCAAAAACAGTGATTATGCTCAACCATTTATAAAATATGCAGGGTACATAAGGGAGATTACCAATAGACCCCCAGCTGACTTCAAGAGGGAGCTGGTCAGGCACCTGAAGTCAGTACCTGACCAGCTGGGCTGTGGTTTTCACACTGGTTTGTGCAAAGCCAGCAGTAACAGCCTGGTACATCAGGCCTTGATCCACCATGAGGCCTGGTCATGGACCAAGCCACGGGGGTGTTGACCCCCCAAAGCACCCTCAATAAAAACAAAATAACTGCGACGCCCAAAGGAGCATATCCATACTGGAGCCTCGATTCAAGGGAATGAGCTAAAATATGAAAAAAAAAAAAAAAAAAAAAAAAAAAAAAAAAAAAAAAAAAAAAAAAAAAAAAAAAAAAAAAAAAAAAAAAAAAAAAGAGACTTACGGCTCTCTGGAAAAATGAGACTTAAGCCTCTCTGAAAAAATGACTTTGGCCTCTGGAAAAATGGTCAGTAGCTGAGGTACAAAGGCTCAGATCTTACTCAACTATCTTCCTTTCCCACTACACAACCCAGGCATATGGTGGATGACAGTGTGTAAAACATAGTCAGTAGCTGAGGTACAGAGGCTTAGATTACCTTACTCAACTACCCTTCATTCCCACTACAAAATCCAGGCATGCAAAAATCTCCACTACCTTCGCAAAGCCACTAAATGTAACAATACATATAGCATATTAAGCATTATTAAATAACTAACAAAAAGGCACAATACCATGACTGGAACAATACACAGATAACCCACACATAGGAGAGGGCTTACGACGATGTTTCGGTCCAACTTGGGCTGTGACTTTATCAATGGTCCAAGTCGGACCGAAACGTTGTTGTAAGCTCCCCTCTCCTGTGCGGGTTATTTGTGTAAGCATTATTAGTGTTATGTCAGATACAATGGTAGAGAGAGGGGAGGGGAGTTACTGTTACTGCTGCTTTACTCTGCCACCCTTCCTCCCACTATAAGAGGAAGAGAATGCGAGACAGGGAGGTAAAAAGAATTATGAGAGAGAAAGCGGGAGGAAGGAGGAGTAGGGGAAAAAGAGGAGGGAAGGGAAGGGAAGAGAGAGGGACTCATCTGACAACTGGATGCTGTTTTTAAATTCATTAAAGAATGAAGTTTGATACAAAATATTATGGCTGGGAAATGCAAGTCTGATTATAACATGAGCGTTGATGGGAAAAACAGGTTCAGAGAACTTTCCAAAATTTAATATTAGACAATTTTCATGAATGTACTAACATCCAAGGTAGAGATAACAAAAAATAACTTCATTTATAAACTCATACTTCTATGATTCCTGCATTACAAACGTTCTTCCCTAATAGTTTTTAAAAAAATTATGGTCTCTCAAAATAAAGGTAGTGTGTTCACAAATCAAAAATTATCAGAATAATAATGCAATATCACTAAAGGAGGGGTTTGGGATATTGACAGTTTGGAGGGATATATTGTGTATTTTTATACGTATATACTTCTACCAACACTCTTATATGGGTGTGAAGCTTGGGTTGTGAATGCAGCAGCGAGGAGGCAGTTGGAGGCAGTGGAGATGTCCTGGCTAAGGGCAATGTGTGGTGTAAATATTATGCAGAAAATTCGGAGTGTGGAAATTAGGAGAAGGTGTGGAGTTAATAAAAGTATTAGTCAGAGGGCTGAAGAGGGGTTGTTGAGGTGGTTTGGTCATTTAGAAAGAATGGATCAAAGTAGAATGACATGGAGAGCATTTAAATCTGTAGGAGAAGGAAGGCGGGGTAGGGGTCGTCATCGAAAAGGTTGGAAGGAAGGGGTAAAGGAGGTTTTGTGGGCGAGGGGCTTGGATTTCCAGCAGGCGTGCATGAGCGTGTTCGATAGGAGTGAATGGAGATGAATGGTATTTGGGACCTGACGATCTGTGAGAGTGTGAGCAGGGTAATATTTAGTGAAGGGATTCAGGGAAACCGGTTATTTTTATATAGCCGGACTTGAGTCCTGGAAATGGGAAGTACAATGCCTGCACTCTAAAGGAGGGGTTCGGGATATTAGCAGTTTGGAGGGGTATGTTGTGTATCTTTATACGTATATGCTTCTAAACTGTTGTGTTCTGAGCACCTCTGCAAAAACAGTGATTATGTGTGAGTGAGGTGAAAGTGTTGAATGATGAAAGTATTTTCTTTTTGGGGATTTTCTTTCTTTTTGGGTCACCCTGCCTCGGTGGGAGACGGCTGACTTGTTGAAAAAAAAAAAAAAATCACTATTATATGCTGCACAGCTATAATGAAAATAATCACAGGGAATATGACTCGTGAAACTGTAATGACACGATTGCAAACAAACCATACCACGGGTGGGGTTTAAACCCGCGGTCAGAGAGTCTCAAAACTCCAAACTATTGTGTTAGCCACTGGGCCACCTAGTTTTTTTTTTTTTCACAGGGAATAGTTGTGATAAAAAGTCAACAACAAAAAAAATAACTGGAAAAAGCTAGCGAAAAAAAAAATACGAAAAAATCATATGGAAACAATCGATGTGATAAAATTACAATATCTTCCGCTAAACAGAACAAAAAGTCACATTATTGTGACTGAAACAATACACAAATAACCTGCACAGAGGATGAAGCTTATGATGACATTTTGGTCTGACTTAAACTATTTACAAGTCATAGTGTGACTTGTAAACGATCCAAATCAGACTGAAACATTATGTTAAGCTTGTCTCTCGTATGTGCGGATTATTAGTATACTGTTCCAGTCATGGTATTGTGTCTTTATATTCTGTAGCAAGCTGAGAAATCCTGGTGAGCGGATAGACTTGGCAGTTAAAAATATAAGCGGTACGATGAAGAGAACATTTTGATAACGTTGTGCATCTCCCACTGTATGATAAATGTCACCGTATGTGACAGGAGACGTATGAACGTACCTGATACAGGCTTTGTAGGGGTGGATGGAGGTGGTGTGGCCTTGGATGATGAATTTGAGTTGACCACAACAATGGAGGAGGACACAGAGCTGCTGTTATTGGTATTACTACTACTATTACTATTTAGGGTACTGTTGTTTGTGATGCTGTTGGTCGTTGGTCTTACTACCAAAGGTTTTACCGGCTGGCTCGTCTGTTAAGAGGTAATTATAATGTATCAGTATACAACCAAGGAGTTCAGAATTAACAATAACAATGTTGGAATAAAATACCTTAAAAATATTTTAACCCTTAAACTGTCCAAACATAGATCTACATCCACGTGCGGGGGGCTCCGAACGTAGATCTACTTTTTTTTACATACTTTCAAATGGGGAAAATCAAGGTCGGAGTGCTACGCACATGAACGTAGATCTACGTTTGGACAGTTTAAGGCTTAAAACACGATGCTTTTAGATTTAAAGACATTTTAAAATATAATAGAAAAATCTTCATAACTAAAAAATAAGAAAAACATGAATTACAGATCAAGCACACTATAATAATAATAATAATAATAATAATTTTTTTTTTTTATTATCACACTGGCCGATTCCCACCAAGGCAGGGTGGCCCGAAAAAGAAAAACTTTCACCATCATTTGCTCCATCACTGTCTTGCCAGAAGGGTGCTTTACACTACAGTTTTTAAACTGCAACATTAACACCCCTCCTTCAGAGTGCAGGCACTGTACTTCCCATCTCCAGGACTCAAGTCCGGCCTGCCGGTTTCCCTGAACCCCTTCATAAATGTTACTTTGCTCACACTCCAACAGCACGTCAAGTATTAAAAACCATTTGTCTCCATTCACTCCTATCAAACATGCTCATGCATGCCTGCTGGAAGTCCAAGCCCCTCGCACACTTACTTTACTTTAAAATATTAATATGAATGTGTGAAAGGCGACTGGCAGTGTAAGTTTTTCCATGTCAGCAGTAAGTCACTGACATTTTTGGGTCATCCTAGCTTCTCTACACACATACTGCTATATGTAACTGAATTTGATTGTTATCTCAGCCACTGACATACCTTGGTAGTAAGTTTATTCAGGTATACACAAATACAGTTACATAGATTATCATACATAGCAGCACAAATGTAGAGAACCTAGGACAACCCAAAGAAGTCAGTTCACTAAGTTTAATAATTTCTAACTTGGCACTTAAAGTAAGAAGCTTAGATGCCATCGACAATGAGACCCAACTAGTTAACGAAATAGTAAACGAGACAGAACGAGATACACAGAGTTCAATGTAAAAACACAAACTGAACGTGTGGTGGGCAATCACTCGCCTGCCACCCGTTCGCTCCAGGGCACAGGTGATCACTCGCCCGCGCCCTGGAGTAATAAAATACATATACAGTGGACCCCCAGGTAATGACACCAATCCGTTCCTGAGAGCTCATCGCTAGACGAAACCATCATTAGCCGAATTAACCCTTCCCACAAGAAATAGCAGAAATCCAATAACTACAGGTCTCCCTCAACATTCACGTTTTCAACTTTCACGGGCTTCACACATTCACGAATTCCCAACCGCCAAATTCCCAGCCACCAAATTCCCAACCGCCAAATTCCCAGCCACCAAATTCCTAGCCGCCAAATCATATTTAAGTTTCCAGCCACCTGCGAGTCCCCACCACCCTCCCCCCGACCCCCACAACCGGCAGCCAGCCCCCCCACCACCCAGCGCGGCGAGCGCTCCGCCCGCTCACCATTTGCTACTAAACCACAGCACAAACAATGCAAACCCATTCACGACTGCACACCGGAATGGCCACCAGGAAAGGTACTAGACGGTGACACCACGCGCCCACTCCCGAACACCGCAAAGAACTAAACACCTCTGCTACAGCTAACAATAACAATAGTAATAATAATAATAATATTTTTTTTTTTTTATTATCACACTGGCCGATTCCCACCAAGGCAGGGTGGCCCGAAAAAGAAAAACTTTCACCATCATTCACTCCATCACTGTCTTGCCAGAAGGGTGCTTTACACTACAGTTTTTAAACTGCAACATTAACACCCCTCCTTCAGAGTGCAGGCACTGTACTTCCTTGATCTGAAAAAATCAAGTAAAAAACCCTAATCTGAAAAAATCAACTTATAAAAGCCTAATCAGAAAAATAAAAAACCCTAATCTAAAAAAATCAAGTAAAAAACCCTACTCTGAAAAAAAATAATCTAACATAACCTGAAAAAATAATGTAAAACAAAAACCTAATCTGAAAAAATCAACTTAAAAAACCTAATCTGAAAAAATAAAAATACCTTAATCTGAAAAAAAATCAACTAAAAAAACCCTAATCTGAAAAAAATCGACTGAAAAAAAATCCTAATCTGAAAAATCAACTAAAAAAAAAAAAAACTAATTTAAAGAGGAGTCAACGGCAGAGAGAACAACTGCTGGTACGGTCATGTGTACTTACTGAACTGACCGATCTTGACTCTTCATTTTTACTGCTTCTCTTCTTATCGTGAGGTGTGGTGGGTGCGTCATGGTCATTGGAATGGTTGGTGGCGGGGGACGGGGCCGGTGATGACCCGCACGCCGAGGAAGGTGTTGACCCGTCTGTGCTGTCGTGGCTCCCGCCAAGCACATGCTAATGGACACAGAGAAAGAGAGTGAATAAGTGATAAACTGTGGTGAAGAGAATCAATAAATTTTTTGACAAATTTATATTAGAGATACCTAATTCAATTGCAGCAATGGCCTTAACAGCATATTTGCATCATTTTATACATTGTATACAGTGCTGTATACTGCACTACTGTATACAGTATATACTGTTGGAGTGTGAGCAGGGTAATACCGTGTGAAGGGATTCAGGGAAACCGGTTAGTTGGACTGGAGTCCCGGAGGTGGGAAGTACAATGCCTGCACTTAACTCTTAACCCTTAAACGGTCCAAATGTATATATACGTTCATTCGCGTAGCGCCCCAAATTTTTTGAGAAAAAAAAAAAAAAAATCTTTTCTTTTAAAAGGAAAAAAGAGCATATGGTACCCAGGCATCCCCAATTATTTTAATATGGCGCACAGTGAGTGCGCACACCCATTCTCTCATGTCTAGCTGACTCAGGCTTATTGTGGCAATGTTGAATGAATGACAAAGAAAACGTATATATACGTTTGGGGCGCTACGCGCGTGAACGTATATATACGTTTGGACCGTTTAAGGGTTAATTGTCCAAACGCAGATCTACGTTTATGTGCGTAGCACTCTGACCTTGATTTTCTCTATTTGAAAGCATGTAATAAGCATAGATCTACGTTTGGAGCGCTACGCAAGCGAACGTAGATCTATGTTTGGACAGTTTAAGGGTTAAAAGGAGGGGTTTAAGATACATGCTGTTTAGAGGGACATCTAAACTGACATATCTGCATGTCCCTGGCAAGACAATGATAGAGTGAATGATGGTGAGTGTGTTTCTTCTTTTTTAGGGTCACCCTACCTTGATGGGAGACGGCTAGCATGTTAAAAAAAAAGTGACATGTAAGACATATCGTTTTAAAAATCTGACCCTCAAAATCACCCTGTGTCCTACACGTGTATTATCTTTTTTATTTTATTAGCACATCGGCGATCTCCCACCAAGGAAGGGTGACCCAAAAAAAGAAGAAACACTCTCATCATCATTCACTCAGTTGCTGTCTTGCCGACACAACAGCTCAAAAACTGTAACGCATCTCTACCACTCCTTCAGAGTGCAGGCACTGTACTTCCCACCTCCAGGACTCAAATCCAGCCAATCGGTAACCCCCACGTGTGAGTGTATGTATATGTGTGTGCATGTATATATGGCAAGGGGTAGTGCATCTGGATAATGAAAAGTGAAATATACCTAAATATATTACAATTCTGAGTAAATTTTATTGGTTTAGCTTTCTTAGTTTTTGTATGAAATGTACCAAACCAACATAAACCCAAGAAACATACCGAAACCATAACACAGAATAACAAAGTACAAAGTATTTGATAAAGTAATATATGTGAAAGCAGCAGCCTAATTATTATTTACCAATTCCAAAAAATGACTAAAATTTTTAAATTTCCAGATTAAGAAGAAAAAAAAAAAACAAGCACCCATCTACACAAAACATAATAGCAAATCAATACATTTCATCAACAATTTACAGTAAATATTTATATATATATATATACATGTATTACTCTACACTAAATAAAATTATGAAGCAGAACTAGAGCTGTTCACTCACCTCCTTCCTGTGATGTAAATGATTTAGAAAACTGACAAGTTGAATAATGAGACACTTGTGCAGCATTTGGGAATCTTAATTATGGAAACGATTTGTCAGCCAGTGGCTTCTCCAGTCCAATACAGAGGAGAACAGTGAAAGATGAAGAGTTGGAGGTAATCAATCCCTCAGTCTGGAGTTGATATGTTCAGTCTATTAAGATTTGTAGACTGAACACATTAACTCCAGACTCAGAGACTGATTACCTCAAACCCCTCAACTTACACTGTTCCTCTCTGTATTGAACCGAAGAAGCCACAGGGTGACAAAACATTTCCACAATAAAGATTCCCAAATATTGCACGAGGGTCCCATCCTTACCTTGATCTTGCAAGAATACTGTCGGTGACAGGAGTCACATTACATACTGTACCTATAAACTCAGGGAGGTGGAGGTTATCATTTTACAGATCCCGGTGTATTCACAAACCATTAATACCACTAATGCCCTAAATGCCCCAGCATGATAGTGGCTTTCTTTGTACTGTACTTAAAACTCAGAATTGTATTTACACACTGTAACATTTGCAAAGAAATAAAATCTTTATCTCTTTTATCTTTAAATGATATCTGTACAGTAAATTTTTTTTAAGATGAGCTATGTTTTTGTATTTCAGATCTGAGATAATGTGGTCGTAGACCGGAACCAATTTTATGGTTGGTTTCTATTTAGCCACAAGAAAAATGGCCTCATATAAACTCATAATTGTAATTCATTTCAAGAGCACTGCAGTAAAAATCCATATACATACACCTTTGATATACCTTCGATGAGTTTCGAGAGTCTTTCTACCCCCCGAGGCTGGCCATAGGCCAGGCTCGCTTGATGCTAGCCTGAACTAGGCTGTTGCTGCTGCTTGTGGCCTGCTGGCCCGCATACCCATCACAGCCTGGATGATCTGGCACCTGATGAAGATACTTGTCCAGTTTCCTCTTGCAGACTTCTACAAAATCAGCACATTTATAAGGAGCACAGTACAGCAGTGAACAGTATATTCTTTACAATGAAACTAAAAATATTTAAATGAGGAGATATATTCCACCATCTTAGTGCAATTATAATATTCATAGACAAGTGCTAAACCCACATGTGTCAAACAGGGAAATGGGATGAAATCAAGTCTGATGCAAATGAAGGAAGGGTAGCTCCAATTCCATAGATCAAGAGTCCTTCACAAGTACACAAGTATCAAAGCACACCACTTAAAAGGCACAATACCATATACAGTGGACCCCCGGTTAACGATATTTTTTCACTCCAGAAGTATGTTCAGGTGCCAGTACTGACCGAATTTGTTCCCATAAGGAATATTGTGAAGTAGATTAGTCCATTTCAGACCCCCAAACATACACGTACAAACGCACTTACATAAATACACTTACATAATTGGTCGCATTCGGAGGTAATCGTTATGCGGGGGTCCACTGTACTTTACTTTCCAAATATCATTCCCCGTCCCTTACCATTATTCTTACCTCAGCATCCCACCAATCATTCCTCTTCCCACCTACACCCATCCTCCTGTAATCACAAACTTCTGCTGCACACTCTAGCACTGTAATTTTAAATTTATCTTATACCTCGTCAACCCCCTCACTGACTGCACCCTATTTATCCCATCTTTCTACTAATAGTTGCTTATATCACCCAGTACCTACCTTCTTTCTTCTTTATTTCCTTCACTTTCACTCCTCTTTTACCTACCAATGCCACAATGTAGTATTGTATTGTGTAGTACAGTAGGGCCCTGCTTCACGGTGTTTCGCCTTACAGCATTCTGCTAGTACGGCAATTTCAAATTATGACCAAAACTCTCATTATGGCTCCATATCTAATACGGCGCATGCCACCCAGTTTGTTTACATTCTCCGTGAGCACCCCATGTCTCCATTATGTTTGGAAACTTTCCAAAATTTTGAGTGCTTTAAAGTTATTTCATATTTTATATATACTCTGATAATAATATTCATGTGTACCTGTACCTAAGTAAACTTATACACTGTGCAAGTACACATTAAAATCATTAAGAGTGTCTTATTATGGTAATAATAATAACACACAATAACAATCACTCTGAGGCGCATTAAATGTCGCATAAAACGTTATTATAGGCATTTTACTTAGTCCATCTGTGATATTGTTTTTCAAAATTAAATAATAAACATGCTACGTAACATATAAACATGATAAATATACTCACAATAGAATAAATTAACATAAATATGAGACATTTTTTCAGTCGGCTTGTGGAATGAACTAAAACCACACATGTCCAGCTGGTTTGTTTACAAAACTCGCGAACCTACTACTCTCTCCTGTACTCATTCTCTCTCTCTCTCTGTCTCATTTACTCGCCTCTCACCCTACATTAAGACTACAAATATTCTGAGGTAAGTAATGAGTGTAATGTGTGTATTTTACCTTTTTATTGCTTTTAATGCCTTGTTCTATTGCTAACTTAATATACATTAGTGTAAACTTATTATCTGACATTAATATATGGAAACAAATAGCATTTTGCTTTCCGATGATATCTGCTTTCCGGCAGTAGCCTGGAACCTAACCTGCCTTATATGTAGGTCCCTACTGTATTGTGTAGTGTAGTACTGTGTAGTGTAGTACTGTGTAGTGTAGTATTGTGTAGTGTAGTACTGTGTAGTGTAGTACTGTGTAGTGTAGTACTGTGTAGTGTAGTATTGTGTAGTGTAGTACTGTGTAGTGTAGTACTGTGTAGTGTAGTATTGTGTAGTACTGTGTAGTGTAGTACTGTGTAGTGTAGTACTGTGTAGTGTAGTACTGTGTAGTGTAGTACTGTGTAGTGTAGTATTGTGTAGTGTAGTACTGTGTAGTGTAGTATTGTGTAGTGTAGTACTGTGTAGTGTAGTACTGTGTAGTGTAGTACTGTGTAGTGTAGTATTGTGTAGTGTAGTACTGTGTAGTGTAGTACTGTGTAGTGTAGTACTGTGTAGTGTAGTATTGTGTAGTGTAGTACTGTGTAGTGTAGTACTGTGTAGTGTAGTACTGTGTAGTGTAGTACTGTGTAGTGTAGTACTGTGTAGTGTAGTATTGTGTAGTGTAGTACTGTGTAGTGTAGTATTGTGTAGTGTAGTACTGTGTAGTGTAGTACTGTGTAGTGTAGTACTGTGTAGTGTAGTACTGTGTAGTGGTAGTACTGTGTAGTGTAGTACTGTGTAGTGTAGTACTGTGTAGTGTAGTACTGTGTAGTGTAGTACTGTGTAGTGTAGTACTGTGTAGTGAGTATGTGATTGTGTATGTAGTACGTGTGTAGTGTAGTACTGTGTAGTGTAGTACTGTGTAGTGTAGTACTGTGTAGTGTAGTAC